CATGGCAACCTACGGTATCATGCCAAATCTAAATCACCTTCTTGACAAACATGCAGAGGATGTGTGATTTCTGACAAGAGCTGCTGTCCTGCTATCCTGTGAAATTATCTGTACAATTGACTTCAGTTACGTGCAGGAGATCAAGGTACTTTTCCCAAATTATGGTCATGACCATGAATAAAAACAATGCTTGTCTGACCTTCAAGTCCCCAGAAAGAAAAAAAAAAAAAACAGTGACGCATGTCAGAAAGGCATCTGAAAAGGGGGGTATTGACAGTCCGTTTCTGGCAAGTATCAGATAACTCTTTAAGCACGATCTTCTCTGATGGGGTCCCTCTCACACAATTGTACTGAAAGTTGAGTCTAGTGTGCGTAGCCAATGTGTATTTGTCAGGGCTCCTTCCCTGTGTCTTTAGTGCACAAACATTGTCTATGTCATGTGAGCATGTCCAGCCAGTTGTATGCAAACATTTATGCATGTTATATTTTTTATTTTTCCACCTTTTCAGAGAACCTGTCTACATATTTTAATTCTTTGAATTCTGTCTACAGTCAATTCATTCTATTTGCATAAATTGACATGACAAGCATTGAGTCACATTCAACCAGTACAAATTCATAAGTGCAGTCAATTCATACGCATGCAGTCACTCAGTGACCAGAAGTCATAAATACACACTGAAACCTTGACAACTTTCATTCTGGACATTATGGAGACTGCCATTCAGACAGCTGTCTGTAATCCCCAGGAATAAAACAATATGTAAAAGGTTTGCTAAGAGTTTGAGACTGCTTTTTTCATCTTTTGTCCAGAACAGGGCCACTTAAAACTTGGCAATTGTGTAGAATAATGACAGACCACCCACCCAAAATAAGTTAACAAAAAAAATAACTTAAAAATAAACAAATATACAAAATCATACAACACTCATTTTATCTTCAAGTGTGTCAGATTCAATGCTATATTTCAAACAGCAGTTCAAGAAAAGGTTGCACTGGCAACCTTTTCTTGTCACGCCTTAACAGAAAGGAAATAAATGTCACGTCTCCACATTTTTCAATTGGATAAAATACTTTTTTGTTTAAGTAAACACACCTGCTCCAGATCAAACTTCATGCACAACGATTTTATAAATTCATGATATCACTGAGCCAGGTCAGAGTATCTGATACTCTACCTGTGATGGCTGTTGAAGAGGTTTGTGTTGATGTTCTATTCAGCCCGTAGAAAAAGAAAGAAAGAAGAAAAGACATGTTGGTAGCTCGCTTAGCGACATGTGCACCTGGTGGCAACCATGTCTTCAAACTCCTTGTAGACATAGGAACCGTCCTCTTCAAAGATCATGACACTCAGGGGGCTGTAATGGGAGGGAATACAGGAGGGCCTGGGCACAGAGGAGTCAAGCTTCTCATAGATGATGTTTTGCACCATGGTGTGGACAGGTGAACCGTAGATGAAGCCCATGGTCCTCGGGCAGATGCCTCTGCAGTACCTGGGGTTGTACTTTGGTGGAAAAACAATCCAGTGATCCAGTTTGAGCTGGTTGAATCGCACCCTGAAGTCATATAAAGCACAGTCACTTGTTGGGAATTCAGAGCTCGACAGAAGCTCAGGCAGGTGGATATCCAGACTTTTATCCCCTCGTTTGCTCTTTGAAGATTCCCTCTTCAATCTCCTATTTTGCCCAGTTCTCTGTTCTGGTTTGAAAACCCTCTTGTGAAACGCATTCACTGCAGTGGCCGGCCCTTACCTGCTCTGGCGTTGACCAGTAACCTCTGGTGGACAACTTTGCTGGTATCATTGAGATAAAGAAGCAGCGGAGGGGAGCTCAAGGTGAACTGCAGTGGGCCTTTGCGCCTATTACCACTGGCTCTTTGTTCCTCTGGGCAGGTTACGTTGATGAGCAGGTGTATATTCTTCTCTGAAATTTTAAGAGAGGCTGGAGAAACGAGGTGATGTCAACCTCCACCCATTTCCTCCTGCAACTCTTGTTAGTGCTGGCTGTGAAGTTCACAGTGTGGTGGACCTCAGGACACAGCTCACACTGGTTTGAATGCTCCTGCTCCTTGACACTCAGGTAACACACGGAGTTGACAGGTGCTGCACGGTCATGGTTGAAATTGTACAGCAAGGCCGACTTCAGAAGCTGTTCTTTTCTTCTTACTTGATCAAGGCTGTAGGACAGATCCTGCATAAAACTCTCTGGAGGAGAATATGAGAAAACATAAGGAACTGTCACTACAACAAATGAAGGGTCATGACACAAATGTCCATGTATTCATGATTAATATTTAATTAGCCAGAATAAACATGTACAGAATAACCATATATTTGGTTATTTAGATAAAGTCAATGTTCAGATTTAATTTGCACTGACAGAACAACATTTTCACAAACACATTTGCTCATTTTAGGAATATTTTATCCAATTTCCATGAGGTAATAAAATATTAGATATCAAAAGTCATAATACAAAACATGTTGTTCAGGCCCAAGTGCAGAAAATACTGCCCTCTTAATCCAACTAATGTTTTTGTCTGAGACTGTGCAACATTTAGTGAAATCTGTTGAAAGGTCCAAAAGACAGGCTTGCTTTTCTTTTGAGTGCTGTAACGTGGCACAGTCTGGTAGCTAATGGCTAACTAATGGCTAGATTAAAACAGCTGACCTAACAAACACACAGTTAATTATATTACCAAACCATTTAAAGCACAGTGAATGTGGGGCTTTTGAGGCCCCTGGCATTCTGGGACCCCTAAGCAGTTGGTAATCCAGTCTTGCCCCACTACAACCTTGAAAACATGACTTTTTGATGGAGTTAGCTAATTTTTTACCTTTATTTATATGGTGCAAGACAAAGGTCACCCCAAGCTTTTTATTAGACCCTATATGACCCCTTTTGTGTCTTGGGGTGTTCTATTGTGGGATTTTTTTTAAATGCCAATTTTAATCATTTAATTTGCCATGCGCCTCAGCACTGGATGCAATGTGTATTAAATTGTAAGTATGGTCAACATACAATCAGCTGTAAGGTCTGTTTCATTTGCTCACCTTTATGAGTTTGTGCAAGACATTCATCTTGAGGCTTGATCAGTCGGACCGTGTTGTAGATCGTAATCCCGTCCAAACTCCTCTGCACTCTGGAGGACTTCTTGTAAACCTGCGTCAGATATTTCATGTACCTCTGCTCGGGTTTCATCTTTCTCTTCAGTCCTGTATTCCACCCCGACCCTCCGTGCTCTGACAGGGCTTTGAGCAGCGGAGAGAAGATGCTGCCGTAAGGGTACGTGATGTCGCCCAGGTTGTGCAGCGCATTGGAGACTGCCAGAGGTGATCTAAACAACGGCCAGCTGCAGCTGACCAGCAGCAGTAAGACAACCATGCGAAAATAACGAAGCACGGCTGACATCAGCATTTGTTTTTCCATTGTAAACAACGAAACCAGTCAAAACTTAGGAGAGACTCTCCACTGAGAGCTCGAGGTCAACAGGGCCACACACGTGCCGCCGCTGATCAATACGCGCAGGTGTTGGCAATCAACTCTGTCACTCATATTACTTTACCAGGTAAGGAGACTTAATACCAGAAAATTTACCACATGTTCATTTTTACAATGAGTCATCAAAACCAGCAAGAAGCTAGTTTTAAATGATATGGTTCAGATGAATTGAACAATGCTGTAACCTGCATCCCTGATTCCCATATATTAACGTTAAGCGTTTTAGGAAAATGTAAAACTCATAAAAGCAGTTTCCGGTTGTAGTCACGATACGATTCAAACTAAGATATAAAGGGCAAAATCCCCGAAGTACATTAAAACACATGTTCTCTACCCCACTAGAAGAAATGCACATCCGTATGCATATATGTTTGTATCTATGATTACTATGCAATATTTCACATGCTAGTCCTAGTCTTTCAAACAGATTTTACGCTTTTATTTTGAAGACAAATCTTGCAAACATACGGTGCTTTTATCGAGTAAGTTTAACACTACTGAAGAAGTAAGTTAGCAAGTATATCAATTGTATTTTCCAATATATCACCCACTTTTTTGCTTATCAAGGAACTGTATCAGCTAATTTTGGAGATAACATTTAAAATTATCAACTGACAATCTGAAGTTGTAAGAGAAAAATAACGTTGGTACATTGGTAAATTAGGGCTTGTAATGTTTGGTACCTAATAAAGTTTGGATTAATGTTATATTATATTTAACTTAAGAAACTGGACTTAATGAGTTCATTTTTGAGTCAGGCTATTTAACCATCAGAAGCTAGATAATGTCAACTAAGCTAGCTAATTTAAACTACAGTGAATGCCAAATGTCTAACTGGCTACTGGCTAACTGTTAGTCAAAGCTGCTAACTGTTACCCTAATAAATTAAATACTGTAAACACATCTGAGAACTAACATACATAATTGGCTACACATGTCTAACATCAGATAGTGATTTCCCACCAGATATTGGCTCACAAGCAGGTAACAATGACGTTATAGGTCTTTTAGGGCTTTATAGATTAGCTAATCATCTCAAATGTGCCATGTTCACTCTGGAGAAATGACAAAATGTAGCTACTTTAAAGCTGCTGTCCACTAGATGGCAGACATTAGATTCAACAAATACACAACATTTAGCTTTGATAAATTGTAGCTAAATTTAGCTACACATCCAAGCAACATGCACAAATATTCACTCATGTTTGATCACGACTGGCTTGGCTATTGTTTTACCCTCTCGAGGCTCACAGAAGATTTGTAGCCTACGCATCATGTTGGACAGCTCCTGTGCTTTTCGGCTTCACCCGTGATACCTGCTTACCCCCACGTCTTGTTTTATCTGTTGGTCTGTTTGACTTTGGTTGGGTGTGTGTGTGACACAGCGGTGCAGCTCACTCTGCAGTTCCCACAGCACACGTTACTGAAACGTAGTGCCTACCCTTCGGTATTGCCGAAGCGGGACCCGCAACTAGGCCAGTGCTGGGGGCCCATGGTCAAGCTCTCCCCGCCACATCAACCTGCTGGAGCTCACATTGGTGCAAAAAGGACTGCACCACCGTTGGGCGTGGATGCATTAGCCCACCCAGTCTGGCCTCCTTGCCTGCTGTGCACTTTTCCATTCTTGCAACTGATGATGCAGCTCCTTAACAGAATCAGGATGCAGCATCTGTCAAAGATAGTTGCGGCGCTGGAGAGCCAGATTGTTCCCCAGTATTTGCGGCAACTATCAAGGCAGGCCACCAAGGCCTGAACATTTTACGGCTGGGAGTCACCCACTTGTGAAGCATTTCTTACAGGGCAGGTTGAGGCCCCCTCAGATCAAGAATTATTCTCTTTAAATTGTACTTCCCCCTCTGTCAGGAAGTCCAACCTGTTGTTCATATGCCATGGCAGTAGTACTCCTGCATCCATCTTGTCTGCGCAGTGGTGAGGTGATGGATTGCACTCCGCTAGTGGACCTGAGGTCACATTCCACGAGGGGCATCGCGTTCTCTACTGCACTTCTCAGAAGCATCTCTTTGGTGGACATCAGTCTGGCCGTCTCCTGGTTGTCCACCTTGACATTTGTGCAGTCATATCGAGATATGAGGAACAATGTGCATGAGGAACAATGTGTGGGGACCTCATCAGGGGCAGACTTAGAAGTCTCCCTATGGCCAGTTCTGCTGGCGTCACGTGTTAGCCCAGCTGAGACCCCCAGGCAGGAGGTTCGGCTGTGGGACCGTGGTCAGTTTTTTTTTCTATGTCTGGCAGGGTTTGAACAATGTGATTGGGTCCAGCTGGGAGTACAGCTCATCCCTAAAGCCCTCGCCTCAGGCTTTAACCAATACCGAAGCCCGTTCAAGGGACTAGCAAAATTTGCAGAGCACACAAAATTTTGAAAAAGTGTTTTTGGTTGAAGAATTTGATATCAAAGACAGTTAACTGTTAATGTTTTTAAACTCAGCTGTCAGCTGTCAGCTTGTCAACTCTTTTATCCCTGATTGTACATTGCACTGTAACTTTATTATTTTTTTAATGTGTATTTTTTCAATTTCCCTATGTTGCTTTTAAACTTTTTTATATTTCCCTGTTGCTTATGTTTTATGTAAAGCACTTTGAATTACCTTGTTGTTGAAATGTGCTATACAAATAAACTTGCCTTGCCTTGTCAAATGTGACAATGTGCACATTACAGTGTGCTTATATATAATATTTAGTTGTGCCAAACTACAGAATAGTATATAGTATAGTACTTTTGAGTTTGGCTTGTTCACCTTTGGGTTTCCAGTAAACGACCAGACAGCACTTTGCAGGACTAATTTGATGCTGAGGTGTGTGGAAAGGCACACACTGCTACATTTTCCCACTTGGTTGGTAGTTGGGCACTGTAACATCTCATTAATGAGCTTTCAGTGTAATTGCATGTTATAGTTTTACACAATTTTGTTGTCCAAATAAATTATTTAAAGAAAATTATCCATAAAACAATCAAAATACATAATTTTTTATTCAAGAGTGTTTGTTTCGGTGAATATCAGTTTGGTGATTTTATGTGATTTTATCTATTGGAAAAGAATTGTCTTACTAACATCATCATGACATTGATCTTATTTTTTCAGCCAGTTTTAGTGGCTGCACAATAAAATTAAACCTTTTTTGCATCAAGCTCATATTACACATTATCTTATTTAAACTGTGCTTTTGTACTTTGCAACCTTTAAACAAATATTCACATGGACCAGTTACCATTAAAGGTCTTCTTACTCGATGAAAAAGTAGCATCAGTGAAATGAAAAGCTAAAATAAACCTCTTTGCAGGAGTGATTTAGTGACTATTTAAACTGTAATGATTATATTAGCATGCCCTGCCCTCTACTGGCCTGAAATATGAAGATCTGAGACAAACAAAAAACGGTGGTAGAGACTCAAAGTGCAGAAATTACCAAAAAGAGTTGGTCTGTCCAGTAATAGTCAACCATCGAAAAACTAAATTTACCTAAGATAGGACAATAAACTCTTGTCAGCTATACAAAGCAGCGCTCTTGTTGTGTGGTGGAAATAGCTGTAATTTGCCCTCAGTAAAATACCCCAATACAATGTCAGCAGCATACAGCTTTTTGTACAGTGGGTGTCAGGGTTGTCAGTTGAATAACATTACCATTTATTTAATATTTGATTTGTGTGGATGATCCATTTCATTGGTTGTGTGGTTTTCCTGTAATACAGGACCAGTGTTCCCAAAGTTCTAAAAATAGCAAAACGATGTTGCTTGTGCCATCCAACACTTTAATATTATGAAGGGTAATTAATCTCTGGGGGCCACTTGCTGGGCTTTAAATTTAGGTTGTAGCCATGTCAGCTCCACAACGTATACTAATAATATATACTAATTTGCACATTAAACTGTTTTGAAGTAGCTATTTGTTTACAAAAAAATGTAGGTACCATTTTGTACTGGGTACTGACAGGATATTATACAAGACCTGGACCACACCACAGTATTGTTGGAAAATCTTTGATGTTTGCATGAGACATAGGAAGTCTTTCCCTGGTAGATTTCCTTTTATGATCATTCCCTTTTCTTGCAGTATTAAATAAGGTTTTGTGGTGAGATTTAACACGTAATGCAGGCTGCTTTGTTGCATAGTTGCGAGTGCAGCTGTCCTTTGTCAGGATCATTATGCAAGCAGCTTCATTTCCAGATATCAAGACAAAGGACATTGTTCTGGCACTGTTTTGCTTATGGCTTCATTGTCTGAGCTCCAACTCTTTTCATGTCATCAGGGACTGGTTTTCTCTGGGTCAGTTAAGGTAAAAAAAATTGTGTTGTGTAGTGAGTTTAGTGCTGTTTTAGATGTATGTATGTATGATCTGGGATAAGAAGGTGATTCATTCCTTCATGACAACATGAGCATTAAAATGTGTTTGAATGGTTGTTAGTTTTCCATTTCAGGTTTATTTCTTTACCATATGAATTACACAACACTCTTTAGTCCTCTTTGGCTTCTCTTTTGCAGTTGAGAGAAATCATGTCAAACGTATTTGGCTGACCTCCTTTCTAATTGATACTAAAATGTTCGTTAACTGTGGGGCATTGAGTGCATGGCCTAGAATGTCCTACTTATGACTCTTTTTTTTCTTTTACCACGTCCAGAGAATGAAGCCCATGTTGTCCCACAAAAGGAGGCCTTTCTCATCCATTACAGCTCAAGTTCACAAAGAGATTGAAAAAGGAGACATTCCACCCCCCTGTCAAGTTGCCTGATTTGCATAACTGGTCCCACAAAGTTCCCCTTCGCTTTGACTGAAGTTGAGAGGAAGCTTTTTCAAAATTTGAAGGTTAAAACCTACCATTGTTTTTTTCTACAACAGTATCTAATGTTTTCTCTACACTCTGTTGGCTTTGAAGAACTTTAACAGATTCGATTTCGATGATCAGAATATCATAAGTATATCATCTGCCGTGCACAATGGCACCATGTGTTGATAGCAACTGTTTCCCAGGTGTGGTCTGTTTTCATATTTCCTCATACTTCACCAATCATCACGGGTCATG